CCTGCATCCTCATCATCCTCCACTCAGTGTGAATTTTCCGTCATGATACATATACCTATCAGACAATGCTGATCTTAACGAGTGGATGTCATTCAGATGCCAAACAGTTGGATATTTTAAATTTGAATGAAAAAAGAGACTTGGCATGAAAAGAGTGGGAGCAATGAGAATAATTACTCTGGGCCCTCCCACATGGAGGGGCCCATCCAAGGGCTAACCTAGTATTCCTAACACTGATCAGATGAATTAGTGCAATTCATTAAAGGAATCAGAATAAACAAAAAAAAAAGGAGGAAAAATTACATTGGCATTGGCTGCAGTGCAAATAAAATGATGGAGAGGATGCTCAAATAAATATTTTGCTTCCCTGATTCCCTGAGAGTCAACCTGGCTTAACATAAATAGAACTTCCAAGATACTGGCACTCCAGTCATTGATGCTAGGCTCTTCTCCTGTGGCAGACCCCTCTTTGTTCTTTTCTCTAGGATCTAACATTCACAATTTTAGCATCTTACAATCATGTTAACTGCCTTCAGGGCTAAAGAATCCTCAGAACTGAGCTGTATTTTCTGTCCTATATATCAGTGTTTTTCAACCTCAGCAACTTTAAGACGAGTGGAGAATTCTGGGAGTTGAAGTCCCCACATTTTAAGGTTGCTGAAGTTGAGAAACACTGCTGTAATATCAGGCCTGTATTTTTCCCCTTGTAAATATAGAACCCTAGTAACTGTTTAAGACTGAGAAAATATTATGAAGAAGAGTTAAATAGCTCCTTCTCTTCAATTGTTTGACTCCTGCAAAAACTGTCGAGTTTCTAGAATTCATGTTCCCAGGCCCTGTTTGTTCTTGCAAGTGGATCTGCACTCAGGAAAATCCATGAGCCAGTTGATGCTACCTGTTAGTGGCAGCCTCCTCTACAATGTTATGATTTCAGATCTGAGATGGGGGAGAGACCAAACTTCCAGGAAAAATGGTGACAGTTCTACCTTGCATCTGCCTAGTTTCTATTGCCAAAGAGGCCCAGCTTCCTTCCTTCACAATTCTGAATCCAATCTGTTTTATCTCAAGACCGCCTCCTTGTGTGACATCTTTTTAAAATAAAACTCATTAAATTGAAACTGTTCTCCTTGAGTCAAGAATCAGTGCTGTTCCCAGAGTTTTCTGGAGGGAGAGGGCTTTGGACAGCCTCTCCTCTCCTCCTTTTCCCTGGAATTGTGTTTCTTCATCTCTACCCCCAAAACCAGGTCACTTGTTTGTCATTTGTTTTAGCGGTTGCATAATGATGCCACCATCTGATATCCACTCACCCTAGGTTATGCCACTGTTCCATCTGCTCCACTATGGCTTTTCTGATAGGATAGTCACAGCCAATGTTCCTTCCCATTGTCACCCATAGTGACTTGAAATACTAGGAATGGAATTTGTGACCTTCTTCTGCCATTTTCCTAGACCATGGTCTTTCCTCTATATTGCAAGCAAAAGTCCTCAAATGTCCTATACTTAGCTCTGGAAGAGATTTGGGAAGCAGCAAAATTTTTCTCCATTTTCTGGCAAATTTGAGACTCTGTATTTTAACCACCACCCTTTTTCCAGTTTATTGGTTTTAGAGTACAGTTTGAAGTCAAATAACTATCTGCCTCTGCATGGTGGGAACAGGATCATTTGAAGGACAAATTCTGGCCTTTCACCAAGATCAGCCCCAAACATGTAACCTCTAATCATAAACAAATGGTTTATAAGTCATGCAGGTTCTTTTATACAAGACAGGTCCTCAGGTTGGGGAGCTGTGGAAAATAACTCACTGCTCACCTTATCAATGTAGCTTTTGCCCAACTCCTTCACCTCCTTCATATTGATCTGTGCCTTGACTTTGTCTTTGCCTTTCTTCCCTTTCTTCTTCTTGCCACAGCATTTTTTACAAATGCAGAAGCAGCAGCAGAGCAGCAAGAGGCCGGCAACAATGAGGATGGTGGCCAAAGCCCATGGTGGTACTAGAGTGGACAGAAAAGGAGAGCAGTGAAAGGAGATGCCAGATCCTGGAATAAAGAGGTTGCATGCTGTTACCTTATTTACTAGTTAAATATGACTTTTCCTAATTGTTACTGGAAGTATCTAGTGGATCTTGGTTGACGTCAGAAAAGCTTAGCAGGGTCAGACCAGGTTAATATGTGGATGAGAGACTACCAGCACATCCTAGGGTGAAGGCTAGACAGGGGAATTGAAGAAATGTCCACAAAAAAGGCAGCGGCAAACTATTTTCATACTTTTACCAAATATATTACATGGCTGTGTCCATGTAGTCACCAGGAGCCCAGGGTGACTTTCCTTTATCTTCCAATGGCCCTCTCAAGTAGATTGTTGTGTTATATTTGTGCTTTTGTTGTTATTATTCCTGCATTTTAGAGACAAAGGTAAGAATGATCTTAAGGACGCCTATGGACAACTAACGAAGAGGTGATCAAGTTTGTTTATATAGTGACAACTGTTGTTCCAATGTTCATGGTTCACAACAGCAATTAATAGAAAGGACATGTTGGCCACACTATCTGTTTAATGTAGAGATTCATAACTGGAAGCCTGGAGGCTGTATTTGCCCCCTAATAGCTTGTAGTGCAGCCCCCAGAAATCTCCAAAAGCTATTACCAAATTGTAATATTTAATGTAACTGAAGCAGAACATTGTTAAATACATGACTAGTTAGTAATCATATATACTTTTAATTAAAGGTTAAATCAAATTAAGTGCACTTTTTGTCCTGGCAATACATATTTTAGGAAGAGACTCCTAGAAAGACCCAGAAAAAGTTTTGTACTCCTGCCATAATATAAGAACTGCTCTTGAATTTAATGCCTCTCAGGAAGTCTCCACATTGTTTCCTGTTAACTCTGCTTTGTGAACAGGATGCCCTGCTGTTCCTTAAATTTCCCTATTTGGCATTTATCGCTCCTCTGGTTAATATGTCAAGACAGGAATTTTAGTTTTTTTCAGTTCCTGATTGTTCTTATCCCACATTCATTTCAACAAAGTTGTAAGTCGTCTTTGGTTTAGAGAATTTTGGGAATTGGGATTACTGTAGGAGAGATATTGTCCTGTCCACAGAGCAAATTGCATTCAAATAGCAAATTGAATTAATTTGTAAAGCTTGCATATGTGAAAGCCTTGGGGTGGAGCTGAAGCCCCACCTAAATGTCTTGCTTTTTCTGTTTTAAATTATTTCTCAAGCACCCAGAGTTGCTGGGGGTTGGATGCATATCAATTTAATAAATAATAATAATACATTTATCATCAAATTGTAATTCCTAATGTGACAGAAGGGAGAAATTATTAAACACTTGGGGAAGTAATCCGATGTTTTATGCACCAATATCTTGTTGTTCACTGAGAAATCAAATGACCTGCAGCAAATGTTAGATAGACTATATGATGCAGCTAAAGGTATCATAGACCAAGGCAGTTCTGCTTGACAGGGAAAATGGAGTGAACACTTGCAAGTTATATTTAAATGGTAAAAAAACTAAAGCAAGTAGATGAAGTGTTGTATCTTTGTGACTATTTACTAAACTTGGGAAGATGGATGGAGAAATTTTAGGATCTGAAAATGCTGGCTGAAAGGTAATGGATAGTAGGTGGTCTCCTGCAAAGAATGAATTGTGACAAAAGAAGTCCTGTCTTCTTTGTTAAATGGGAATGAAAGGGGGTATATTAAGTGAAACATAAAAATAACTTGTGTGCAATGGAAATGGAGTACTTAGTCTAAGTTTTAGTATAGACTTCAAGGAAGAATGGGTGTTGAATAAAGGTGGACTGTGTTTAAAAGGGAATGCCTACTATGAAAGATGTGCATTGTTGTGGTTTGGTCTTAGAGAGACCATGAATGGGAATCAAAATGTAAAACAAATATACAAAAGAAGAATGGATGAGTCAAGAGGAAAGGGTAGAGTGAGAAAGTTGTGGTTTGGTGGAGCTGATGAGATTCTCAGAAAGAAAGGAGAGAAGCAAGGATTGTTTGCAAGGATAGACAGGTATGAAAAGGTCATCTTATGGCATTTATTTCTTTGCCTTACTATTTTTAACCTCCTCTCTGTGCTTCGCATAATATTGCCTTTTTTGTGTAGTGCTGCCATTTGTGTAATGGGTATGTATCTATGCCTGGGAACTAATCCTGTTGACTGTGCACAATTCATTAAATTTTAGTTTTTGCCCTATCTTCACTATCTTTGGAGAGTGCAGTCTCTAACACACCAAAGGCAGTCAAAAAAGATTGCAGAACACTAAAAGAAATACTGTGCTCCTATTTGCTTTGACTCATTAAGACCAGTGGGATTCAGTATTAGTAAACGTGGCAAGGGTTTATACTGAAGGTGTTTAAAAGGCTTTGCTGAGATTCCAGAGGTGTATTTTCCAGTGTTTTAAAAAAATCATTCCCTTAAATGCAACAGTGAGTTGTCTTAACCATTATGACACTGTCTCTCATGTGATTGTTTTAATAGCACAATGGACACAGAAGGTTCTCCCAACTCCACTCTTCTCCATTGTCCATCTTTTCAGTGTCTAAGTTCTGGTTTCTTCCTACAGAGCCACCTAATCTCTGAAAAATCTCTCTATACATTTACATTATACATTTCAGAGCTCCAGTGATCACTCAAGAGAATACAGTTATTGGAATTATTATAATACAATTGCAGATGTAATAAAAACAGAGATAGTGATTATGAACAAAAATTGGGATAGTGAACATGGACTCCAGTTGTGGGAAATGGTGGAAGGTTATAGTTTGTATGTCAAAACAATTGAAATTCTATAGTAAAAAAAAATAGAATCTGCATGTGTGTGTGTGTGTGTGTGTCTGTATGTTGCCAAATCATGTAAATTTGTATACCTTGAATTATTTAATCTACACTTCTTAATCACATATGTCAGGAATAAAGGCCTGAACACGGCACCCAAGCCATGCCTCCAGGAACATTTGGCTTATTGGCCTTTCAGGTTTTAACGGTCATAACCTGTGCATTTTCTAGCACATTTTCTTCATGAAAACTAGAATGTGCAGTGCTTTATATATAAAGAAAATTGATATTACAAGAACTGCACAGCCTGTAGTTTTTTTAGCTTCCGAGGCCAGGGAAAGGACTTTTGTGGAATTACAAAAAATAGCCCTGCAAATAATCAGTATTAAAAATAAGACTGTGTATAATAAAGAAATCCAGGTGATTTGATTCAAATAAATTAGCCTTGGTAGTTTCAGTTAGATCCACCCTCCAGTTTGAAATCTGAGTTTGGAAACAGCCTAATTCTACCTACTTGGCAGTTTCCCCAATTTGTTCATGAATTTATCTTTCAAGTCTGAAAAAACGTTCTCCTTGGTGGGCATCTCAGTAGCATTGATGGAGGGTTCCATCTGGGATTCTGTCACTTCTGAATCCATCCTGGCTGATCTCCGTGCTGCATTCATTGTGGAATCTGGAAAGTGAGAACGAAAAGAGATAACGTATGTACTCTCCTGACAAATATAAACCTTTTTTTAAAGTTTTGTTTTAAAATTAAATAATGCAATTGAATAGGGAAGTGTTTTTGCAACTGC